AGAGACCAGGGGCTCCCATTACTCGGGAGAACGTCCTCCCGGATTTAATGAAAAATTGGTCAGTCCGACGGAAAATTTCTCCATCGTAGCTCATGAAGCGTGTCTCCCATCCGCTCCAATATTTTTGGTGATCCTCGTGACCACTGCCGGCAGTGCCGCGCCGTTGAGATCAAGCAGACACGGTCATCGCCAATGGACAAGACTCCGCGGGCGGAAGACGTTGAGCAAAGAACAATAAGTAAGCGGAGCGCAGTCTTTACCTGCGCCGATGGTCTCGCATCGGGGTTTGTGGGAGGTCTTCGAAAGCACTGCTCAATTTCTGATCGAGCGCTAATTATGATTTGTGTGCCTGTCTCTTTCTCTGTCTGGCAGGTCAGAGCTTGTTATCCGTGGAGGTTTTCGAGTCTGTTCAGTGTTCCTCAGGCAGAGAGTCCATGGGTTGGCTTAACGCATCGAAATCTTTCCCTCTAATGAAATGTCTACCCTCATTCGACTTCGACAAGGGTACCGAAATTCCGGGATTCCTCCTCGAACCCAGGCACTTCTTTAATGAACAGCTATTGTCCCAGTGCAAGCTCATTCACGGAGCGCTTCGAACCCTACCCCGAACGGAGCCGTGTGAAAAGTTTGCTTAAAAAATTGTTTTTCTTTTGTGACGTTCCCCGGCTTCCGTAGCTAAGGCCAGCAGACTCACGAGCGAAGCGGGTCCTCTTGTGTTCCCCGAAGTAATAAATGAAGTCTGGAGAACACGGAACTTTGTCGATTTTTGTTCAGCATTGCTTTCTAATGATCGTCCTGTCGTGCCGACCCTCTTCGCTCCGATGTCGCTCCTCCTTGTGGTTCTATTGTATCTGTCCGAAAGCCCCATGCGAGTGTGGGAGGAGAAAGAGAGCCCCGATCGAGTGCTGGGCTTCGTTTCCACTATTCATCGGACTGAGGCCTCGGATATTCTCCGGAAGGCGAGGAGGAACGAAAATGAGCCACCATCGAGCTGGATGACTTGACTGGAGAGTCTCAGCCAGGCGATGCGAACGCGGTACGAGTCAAAGCTGTGCGAAGCGTCAACATGGACTCGATGGGAAAAGGCGTTTCGTCATTCGATCAGTGTTACTTTCCCGTCTACAGGGGCGTGTTCCCTTCGCCGTGACTCCGGAGAGCAGGCTTCCGGTGTTCGCAATCACTGACGGCGCCCTGCGGAATCCAGTGCTCCTTGATTGCTCGCTGGAATCCAGACGATTTAATCGCTCGCGGTGAAATCGGTCACACTCGGGCGACTCACAAACAAACTGACCGAGCGGACAGTGAATCTTGGGTAGTCAGAGATTTTGAGAATAACCCCGCTCGTTCGACCGGCGGCTATCCCCCTGCAATGTCTCGCGACGACTAGACTCTTCCCATGAGATAGGAGATTCCCCCCGGATCCACACCAGAGCCGGGACATACTTTCTGTCGCGAAACTTGATCTCCTGTCCCGAAATTATTTCATATTGATCGGAGATCCCGATTGAAGACCCTGTCGGGTCAAGATCAGATATCTGAGAAGAATATTCGTAAGGATCATTAGATGGAAATTCGATTCTTGAAGTTGCTCGAGGCCTAACGTTCAATAATCTCAATAAAGGTATGATGAGTGATCGGCATGAACTCAATCATTGCTGAGGGAAATTATTGCAATTGATGGTTGAGCGCTTTCTTAAGCTCAACCCTTTTGGAAGGGAACATTTGGAGGCTCACGGAATCGGGGAATACATATCGCTCTGCGAGGCTTGAATCCCGAGCTTGAAAGCCCGCGGGGCGAATTCAAAAACGCGACGAGGGAGAACAAAAACCATCGCGTCGCAGCACAATACAGAGAGGGGCTCCAAGTGAACGAAAGCGGCGCCGGGCAAGAACGAGTGCCGAGAGCTTGATCTACACAATTAACAACAACAACAACGACGACGACGACCGGTGGAAGGTGGGAGGACGGGTGCAGAAAGTTTGCGGGGAAAAAGCGAAGTCTTAAAAGACACAGCTGAGAGCGAGGGGAACGACGGAACGGCGCTGAATTATGCAACATGGGTCGCTTCTCCTTCTCGCTGAAGGGTCCTCGTTTTCCATTCTCCTTACCTGCTCCTGGAGCTCGATCCGAGCTTCTCATCTGAACGACGGAAAATAAGCTCTATCGAGACTGTGAAATTAAAAAAAAAGACCACATGAAGATCCATCGACGGAACGCATTCATCCGAACCCCGGATGCCGACTTCGACAGACCCTCAAGCTCCTTTCATAGCTGGAAATATCTGTGAAGAGTTTTGACCATTCACCCCATCGACATTCCCTACATGTTGCGCTGCCATATTTTTCGCCTTGTTCTGATGAACCGCAAGCCCCTGCAGCATCGCTCCGGCGAGAGAATCCGCCTTATTTTGCGGTCGCTGCGAGCTACGTGCAGTTCCCCACTCTACGGGAGCGTGTCAACGAAGGCCTTCGTTGGGAACACGTCTCATGGGTATTAGTTTGAACGAATTATGTTGGAGCTCGAACACGGCGGAAACCCTAACCTGATACATTACTCACGGCTATCCATTCAAAGATGCTATTTGAACACCCGAGGAGCTTTGGAACAGGCAAACTCTCCATTCAAACGCACTGTGTGATTGTGAGGTCTCGCATCATAAACTGCTCTCTTCTATTGTTCTGACTCCTCAATTTGGATGAGCCTGTTCATCAGCTTACAATGAACGTTGAGCTCTTATCTCGATCTGGGCGCTCTGATTCTGACGAGAGTTGCGCTCCACTTTCCCGAAAGGCTGTGTTCCTGCGGTGTTCGAGCCCGCATCTAGTTCGTGGTGTACGAATGCATACGAAACATACGTGCGTCGAAATAACTCGCTCGCCGCCCCGAAGCTCCCAACATTCTCTAGGCTTGGGAGTCGCGCGGGAGACGTGTTCGCACACGTCTTAGCGGATACGCTATACGTGCTTCCATCATTATTCTCGTCCCGAGATTCAGGAGAACGTTTTTGCGCCGGCGATGGAGCTCAAGACGACGGTCAGGCGCGGTCGAGGAAAAAAGCTTCAGAGAAAGAGGGACCTGAAGACTGACGACCGTGAGCAGCACGATAAGAATGAGCGAGACGGCGAGGGCGGCAGCCCAGGGAAAGCAAAAGGGGGAGAGCGCGGAGGGTCAAGCTCAGAAAGTCATTAGAGCGGAGATCCTAATCCTGTTGATGTCTGAAAAGAAAACTTGATGATTTCCCCGCAGTAAACGTTTCATGGAGGGCGCCAGCGAGAGCAGCAGCAACAACGAAATTCAGGAGGTGTAACTCCTGGCATAATTGATCTTCCTCACTCGGCTCTCCTTCTGTTCCTCTACCGTTTGCCATTGCCGCCACTTTTCTTTGCCTGGCTGGCCCACCGACCGGAACGCCCGCCCGCCCGCACGCTCGTCCTTCCCTCATTCATTTGCTCGAGCAGGATTTGATTCGTAAAAACTCGACCTTTAAAAATGCATCGCTGTGAATATTAGAGCAGTCTTTACTTTCTCCCCATGTGCATACTTTCCGTGGGGTGCTTTAGTGGTAGAGCGGAGGGCGGAGAGCAGAGGAGTAACACCGAGGAAAAGGTCATAAACTATATTTGCGCGACGCTCTGTGCTTGCTTCGTATAACACGAGGGAATGGAATCGGATGATCCGGAAGGTCTCTCTTCTCTCGGCCCCTCGTGAGTTCCCTGCTTCTCTCAACGCTGCCGATATTTGAATACGATCTGCGGGGAGCGCGGTCAGCCCTCGCCAAGGGAGCAATCATCCACGCCAATAGAAGTCGTTATATCTATTAAAATATCAAGCACTGAGTGTTCGCCTCCTGGGGCCACTCATCTGCCGGCCAAGCTCTCTGGAGGCCTCTCCGCACCCGCGAAAACGATGTCGTTGGAATAATAAATTCGGTTCGATGATAGCGCTGATGGTGATGTCGACGATGATGATTGTTTCCGACCTCGAGACTCCATTAGTTCAGCGGCTGAATTCACCTTAGCGCAGGTCTCGCCCATGAGAACTTCGTACTTTTGTCAATATAACCGGATGAAACTCTATTTGAGCGAAATCGTCAGGTTTAGATTCAACTCAAAAATTACGTGTCCCCCAAATGCTCCCAAGCGTGAAATATCGTTCTGCGCCGAATCATCGATGGACCTGCGCGGATGACCGATGTACAAACTCGAAACCCTTTGGCCTCTCGGGGACGTGATCGGACGAGCTCGCTGCATCCGCTGTCCGACAGAAACTTTGGGTGAAACGCCGCGTTTCTCTCCTGCTCTCGGCCGAATAAAGAGGGAACGCGATCGCAGTCGCACAGGAGGGGCCTGAGGTTCGGACCGCAGGAGGCAAAGGAATTTTGTAGCCGAGGTACGGCTTCCGAAGTGTCGCGAGATAAAATTAATGAAATAAACTTGTCGGTTCCGTACAATTCGAATTTGAGCCTCGATTCCGAGAAAGTCCGACAGAGAGATATTTGAGGACTGCACGGGGTAATATTTGTGCAGGGTCGACGCAGGGATCGCCTGAGCGAGCCTATAGCTCCGCTAATCGGAAATTCATAAATCAAAACTTCGGAACCGAACGACACCACGGTGAGCTGGCACGGCGGAACGGCGCGCGGCGGCTGCGAATTCGGCCTGTCTCTCGGTCAATTTGCTCTCTATCACCCCCAGCTCGCTGTCTCTCTCGCTCCCGACGAATGTTCTCACCTCATTAGCTTCAGAAGAATTGAGCGATTCCGTATGGCTTCCGCAAAGCCTCTAAAGATCTCGTTCAAGTACTACTGAAGATGATTCCTCGCCTTTGAGGGCTTTCGAAACTTTCCAGCGACAAGAGTATTCACTCGCCCGGGCGGGAAATTCCCGCAGGAAGTTCAGAGCCTTCCGATCCGCATCCGACGTCTCTCTGCTTCGATTAGAGCTTGAAACATATTTTCCCAGAAATAGCCATTCTAATGACGCCTCCCCCCCCTCTGCAGGTCTGTGTGCGATTTCGCGGGAACTGGGTGCTCCGGAGCCCATGGTGCCTGAGCGAAAAATCAACATTCTCATTATTGGGAACCACTCCTCCGGGAAGTCTACTTTCATCAACTGGTACGTACGCCAATTAGGTCCCCACGAATCTCGTTCTCCCTCGTAGAGAAATCCCCAGAACTAGTCCGAAAACTTGGTGTGTTGTCTGGAACGCTCCCGGTCTCGCAGAACATTCACGCAGCTCCGAAGCTGAAACTCACCTACCAATTCGTGTCGTATGCGTCGATGAAATCTGAAGCGACGGGATGGAGATCCGAAATGCATTCGTTTTTCCCTAGCAGTACGATGTTCACAGTAATTGGGTCTGCTTATGCCGAGAGCGAACGGATCGTCCGAACTGCCCACTCTTCGTGCGCTTGCACTCGCCGAGCGGTGATTGTTGTTTCTGTGGTTTGCATTCAACGCAATTAGCGTGGAATAAGTGTTAATCAATTTGTCAGTCGACGACTATATGAGTAACGTAACGACACTCTGCATAATTACAATGGCGCAGAATAGCCAAGCTGCTGCTGTTTCTCCTCTTGTTGGCGCCATGGACGTCGCTGACGTCTAGGCAGGCTCGCTACCATCGAGCTGAACCGACTAGCTGCTAGACGACTCGAGTTCCTCTTTCTGTCACGCCCTCTCACAGATTGCGTGCTACTTCTGGGGACAAAATCTATTTGAGGATGAGTAGTTGCTCGAATCGGGATATGAATGAGACAGGATCTTCCGCGGAATCGTTTCTGACTGCGCGGTTTTTAGTCCGTTTCACGTTCGGCGGATCTGCCGCAGAACCAGACTGATTTACCCAGCAGCGGGAGTAGAGAATTCGAGCCGGCGGCAACCACATCGAAGATCAAAATTCGGACATACCTACGGATCGGTGGCCCAAGCGACGCGGCCAAGATTATCCCTCACCGTCACGTTTGATCGAGTTTGAATCGCGGAGTCATCTACTCGATGCTCGCTTTGAAGCTGCGCAATAATATATTATGACAGCGGTCGGGCGGATTTGAGCCAGGATGGTAAGGTGCAGCACTATTTTCCCGCTTCTCCGTCCGTTGGCCAGCCCAGCAGTTGATCCGACTCGCTCCGGACTTGCCGAACCATACGATATGGCTCCGTGCCTCTCGAAGTGAACGGTGAATCTTCTCAATCCTCGAGTCGCGCGGGCTCACTAGCGCGGTCGATTACAGGGATCCGACTGCTTTGCTCGGGTTCGCCTCCGCGGTGCCTCATTCCAGCACTGCCAGCACTATGCAAACAATCGGGCGGAACTCAGCTTCGGGAATAGAACTCGCATATTCCGTCGGGATAGGGAACTGTGTCGATGTTCCGCGTCGAGATTCCCAAATCGAGCGATGAATCTCTCAATCCATTCCGATGCCGCCGCACTCCGTGTGAGGGAAAGTTCAGGCCAAGACTCGAACTCGGGATCTCCGTCGGAGGAGCCGGGCTCTCCAACCTCTGGGCGGTTCCAAGTGCGACATCGGTGAGAACTGATAACTCTGCTCGAGTCCGACAGAGAATCCTAGAAGGTCATGGACAAAGAGACCCAGTGTCGAGCAGCTCTGGAACCGGCCTACGTGATCTATTTCCGGCCGTGTCGAGACTGTGTTCCGGACGCAATCATCAGATTGCGGGTGCTCCGAAAGTTCACTCTCAGTCAGTGCATGCACTTTTGAGCGCAGGCTCGTTCTAGGGACAGTCACGTCTACGGACTGCCGAGAAGGGCGCTCAGATGCGCCGCTTTTGATGCAGCGTGGGCACGACAGAGATAACCAAGATTTCCAGGGATCTATCCGCCTCCCGTGAAACTCAGAGTAGGAGCCCCGTGATATTTTCGAGGAAAGCAACCGTCAATGAACTCGTGTCGCTTGAGGCTCCTAATCGCATGACCTTTTTGGGGGACGTCGTTTGCACGGGAAAATCAGAACAAGAGAAGAGCCAGAAAATTGTAAAGAATCGCGAGTCTCTGGGCAGACGCATTAGTTGAGACAAATCGAGAGGCCCTCCAAACTTCATCGAGTCATTCCAGGCGGGAGAGGAAGAAGTGCGAATGGCAATTGCAACTGTTGCAATCATTCTCAATTGGAACGGCTGAAGAAGGAGAGAAAAAAACACTGATAACAAGCACGCCTCCCACAAAGTTCAGGTCCCCAGCGTGCGCTCTCGAGCGGAAATGGCATGCCCTCTCTTTTTTGCGACAATGTGGAGAATCTCGCAAAGAGCTTCTTCCTTATCGTAGATGCAGAGGTCGCCGTGTAGAACTCAACGTGAGCAGCAGGTGTCGCGAGCAGAAGGTGAAAAGCTGCTCTCATGAGTCGACCTCGCGAACGGAGACCGTGGATCTGGTCCTTTCATTAGCATCGGCGTTTCACTCGCGGCCCACGAGGCGACATCCCGAGTATTGGGCTGGAAATCGGCTGGGTTCGATTCGATAGTCGAGGTGCGCTCTCCCTTGCGAGAACTCCGAATCACGGACGGGATGCAGGAATTCGAGAACAAATCGTCGAGGACATTTTCTTCCCGCGTCAGAATCGAATCAAGCCGGTCCTTTCGGATGACAAAGATTGTTGGCTCTATTGGGAATACACCGGGATCCGGGGACGCATCCATCTCTCATAAAGTTCATTCCCACAGGGGACGCGACGATGCGAAGGGACAGGTACATTGATGAACGCCGCCTGGAGCAACTTATAGGGCATATGAGTCGGGGAAATTCCGGATCGGGGAATTTCATTATGTATCTCTTCCTTCCCGGTTCGTTCCATCTGCTCCACTTTCGCCGTGTCATGACTTTACGAGGAGAGTCGTTCCGTGCCAGAATATGTTATGCTCGAAGCTGGCAATCGGCTACAAGCAATCCAGTCTTGGAGATGGGTCCGTTGTTGTCCTAATCGGCGATTGTACGCTCAGACTTGCCCGTCAGAGCGGCGGCCAGTGGAAACGGTGAGCGCTTCAACATCAGTTTCACAACCTGACCGTTTGCTCCATACGAAGCACCGCTGCCGCCGGCTTTCTCTCTCTCTATAGAGTCTATAGTGTTGGTCATCAAACAAAGAAAAACCGGATTCGGACAGCGGAAATTGCATTCTGTCGGCTGTTTTGGCGACTGGCCTCACCTGAGCGGGTGTCATAACGAACTCGACCCGACTCACGTACTGGTACCATGGTCCATCTCTTCTCCGCCCGATTCCGCTGTCCAGGCCCTGCACCTTCTCGGAACAGTCATTTCGCGCTGATTCACCTGATTTTTCCGACGCTTCGAGATTCTGGTCATTCGATCCTGCTGCTTCTTGCCGCTTCGACGGCTTCCAGGCTCCACCTGCACGACAACCCACCCTGGATGCGCTCCATCTCAGTCGATGACGACGGTCTGCGTTGTTGACGGCCGGGTCAGTATGGAGAGGAGCTTCCTGGGCTCCATATCGAGTTCCGCGAGGATGTTAGTCTTTGTAGACGCTCTCAGCTCCTCCAGCCCCGCTCTGCGATCGAGTTTCCGTAGTTGTTCTCGATTTTTTCGCCTCTTCATGAAGCAGTGGCTAGGCGGAATCTGATTGGGGAATCCTTTGGACAATCTCCTCGACATCCGCCTCGTGGACTAGCTGCCGGACATCGTATGTGAAGTCTTTCGGTGGAATCTCTCGTACAAAGTCACATGCATATTTCGAAAAGCGGAGAAAAATAGTAGAACCGTCTGGCAACAGGAACAACCTTCGTTGAACCAGCTCTAGCTCCGCGACCCTCCTTTCTACCTAATGATTTCTCTTTCCGGGAATTCAAACGACTGTAAATCCACTCGAATCATGCATACACCACCGACGAATGGACTTGCAGGGCTCTCGTGGGCATTCTGAATTTGGATGTCGAACATTCGGAGCACCTATGTATGTATGTACCTGCAGAGTCCATTCGGAGTGAAAGCTCCGCTATCAGCGAACGTCTCGGAAAACGGTCATTTTATTTCGTAACGTCTCAAGCAGGTAGTAGAATATGCGCACAAATCGCTGTCTGAAATATGGCTCTAGAGATAGAATTGCCGGCCGAGGTGTACCTACTCTCCTCGAGGCTCGTCCGTCCGCACAGCCATCTTCCTGCCCGACCGGCAGGCGTTCTGCTGCTTCTGCGTTCGAAGACTTTCCCAATGGCGGAGCGCGGCATCGACGTCGTCGGCGGTTGTGTTCGTAACAAAATTTAAGCTGGCGCACGGCCAGTAAATAATACATGAGCGGCGGCAGCAGCCTATGAAGGCCACAGCTTTGCCTTCAAATCCCAATATATTTCGTTCGGCGAGCCTTTCAGGGGGAACACGCGGCCAGGAAACCAGCCGCCCGCCTCAGTTTGCGCGCTGGCCGTCTGGCTCGCCACCCCTCCTGACTGGAGCTCGCTTCCCCGCCCGCTTGCCCGCCTGGTCGTCCGTCCGCCCGCCTGCCCGCTTGTCTGGCCGCTCGTTCATTTTTCGCCTACCGGTCGTGCGCCTTATTTTTCCATAGGTAGCCAGCGGAAGACGGGAGCAGCTTGAGGTAAGACGGCCAGCCCATCGGCTGACCGGCTTTTTCCCCCTGCTCTTTCGATCATTCCTCTGCTTCATAACGCACACCGACGCTTTCGAAATCGATGCTTCAACCAGCGAGCCTAGAATCAAATGTGGAGGAGCGGACGCAACTCCCCACATTCGTCAGTGGGTGACCGACCCACCGGCAGACGTGGGGATTCCTCCATTCGATGGAAAGATTGAATGCTAAATCGATGATTTCAGATCGAGAATTTTTGAGAGAGCCGTCGGACAAGCCGTCTGACGTGACTTGATTCGCTTTTGGAGACGGGGTCCGACACGATTCTCCGTCTTATCCGTTGCCGCCGGACGTCGGGCGACATCAATCCCGCATATTCATTATCCATGTGTTCGTGGGCGAGCAGAGCTTCTCCCGAGCTATATTTATCTGCGAAGGGAGCGTTCTCCTTTCCGGAATGAAGCGAATGTGCAGGCCTTGAGCTGACATGGAGGCTTTGCGGAACAGGAGAAGAGCGTCGTCGTAAACATGCGAACTGAAGCCAGACCGAGAGCTGTTCTC